TTATTGTTTCATTTTATAAATTTGGGTAGACATCCTGGTTATTTACTTATACTATTATTTCATATAAAAATGAGCCTGTTGAGAGTTGCTTTGTAGTTTCATTACATATGTAATTAAGAAAAGAACTATATTTTAATAAATTTCTTTTATTTCAGTCTATTCATATAGAACACATATTGTATAATTTCCTTTCATGTACTGTAGATGCATAGCACCATTAAAGTTCTAGTGATATAAAGAAGTCACCTTTTCATACAGAATCAAAGTGGCATGCTGGCATTCACTCAGATCTATTGGACTCTTGCCTGAGACCATATGAACATATGCAGACATACTTTATAAACAAATATAATATTCTACTACATCAAAGAAACTATACTTAATTTATAAAGGCAGGAAGTAAAATGTATAGCCTATAAAACTAATTTAATAAATCTTTCATCTCTATGGAAAATATCAAGGCCAGGAAGATTCAATACACTATGAACTTGTTTCTGCAGTTCATATAATGTCCAGCTTTTATTAAATGCAAACGGTCTAATAAAAAATGTGAATTTCATATCTGTAATGATCATATGCTACATACACAGATATTAATTCAATTTTCATTGCTATTCCAACCTGCTTATAAGAAGAAAACAAAGGAAAAAATAACAATATACTGAAGTCATATCCAGAGGATCTTTCATTGACAAATTCATCGCACATTTTTATATTCTGTATAATATATATATAATATTTACATATCAATTAGAAGCTAATAAACTGCTGGGTGTAATGTCATATGTACATTTTATACTATTTTAATGAAATACCAATTAGATATAAGGAATTCTGATTAATAAAAATGATGATTCACTTTTATGAAGTACTATCTAATTTACACAATAAATATATAACAAATATCAATTTCTTTTAAGTATTATCACAGTTTAATTCAATAATTGCATTTACAGTTTAATTCCTGGACACGAGGTACTAAAGGAACATATAAGCAGAAAGAATTCATGTAACTCCCTGAAAGAAAGAAAGAAAGAAAAGGAGGTTGGGCCAAAGTCAAACGGAGATACCAACCTTAAAATCCTTCATTGACATCACAAGTGAATTACAAACTACCATGGTTTAGTTCGCTTGCCCTTGCTGGCTGGGGATTTTATGGGCACTTTCACAAAGGACTGGAACTTACTGGTGCCAGGAATGACAACTTGACCTGCTGGGATGTGTGTGATCTCTTGGGTCACAATGGAAGGTTCTTGGGCTGCAGGGTACAGAGGAGTTAATGTCATCTCAGACGTAGGTGTTGCTTGTAGTTCCTGGCATGGCACTTCTGTTAACATGGTAGCATCGACAAGAGGAGATATATGTGGATGCATCTGCTTATGAACTTCCAGTGTGTAACTCTTAGCAAATGCCAAACCACACACATCACACTTGAAACTTTTTTCAAGACAATGAACTTTTTGATGCAGCAAGAATTTACCATTGTCCTTAAAAAGTAAACCACACTGGTCACATCTAAGAGGTTTGGTGTCACCCTGTGGTTTGGATGACTTGTTATCCGCATTCCAGCCAACAAGGCGTCTGGCATAGTATCGTTCTGTATGTACATGTTTTAGATGCTTTCTTAGTAAAACTTTACCAGTAAATTCTTCACCACAAACATCACATTTAAAAACCTTTTCCTTAAAATGTGTTTTTCTATGAAGATCAAGAGTAGATCGATACTGAAAAAGTTTTCCACAAACATCACATTCAAGAGGCTTCTCTCCACGGTGCTGCATCATATGAAGATCATAAGGTGTACGTTTTTCATACACTAGATCACACTTCTCACATCGCCATGGACCCATCTCTGTATGCCGTTTCACATGCTGTCTTAATCCACTGCTATCAGAGAAAGCCATTCCACATTCTCCACAAAGATAAGGTTTTTCTCCTGTATGTATTCTTTTATGTTTTGTAAGATGGTCACTCTGGTAAAAAGCTTTTCCACACTCCGAACATGAATACGGTCTCTCACCTGTGTGAATTCTACGATGGACTGTTAGCATACTGCGTTGAGTAAATCCACGGCCACAGTCATCACACCTAAATGGCCTCTCTCCAGTGTGAATGCGATTGTGCACAACCAAACTGCTTTTGTTGAGGAACGACTTCCCACAAGTGCTACAGTGATATGGTTTTTCACCACTGTGGGTTTTCTTGTGGTACTCAAAGCTGCTCCTCTGGGAATAGGCCTTCCCACATACACTACATTCATATTTGCCATCACTTCCTTGGGTTTTGGTATCCTGTGTCTGCTGTGACTTATTCCAGAGGTAAACATTCATGTGGTCGTCCTTTTCCTCTATGTTGATGGCTGGAACTGAAACATGGACACCTGGGACAGCTACAGAAACTGTTACAGCCACTGACATCGAGGGGACACTGACTTGCTGTGGCAATGACATTTTGCTGACTTTCTTTTTCTAAGGTTAGTAGTTATTCTTTTGCTCCAACA